ATGTGCTTTCTTTGCACACAGTAAGTTCTTGGTCCTAACATCTCCATGATTCAGGGACAGGGCTTGGGTTGTCCAAGCTATGTCAAGCCCTGGATTTCATGTCACTGCTCCACTTCAGCTGATAAAGTCTGTATCACTGTGTGCCAGATCTGCAGCTTATTCCTGTGAATTCCATGAAGCTAAGCCACTTTAGAAGCTGACAAACTTGGTCTGGGTTATTTTTCCATTCACATTAGTGGTACAGTATGGAATTAACTACCAGGGTAGTAGTACTGAATTGCATCCTCTTCTGCTCAATATTGCATAGCAAGGGACTGGTCTTTCATTGCAACATTAACCACACAATGAGGATGTGCAAAGCTTAAAGATGCTGCTTGCTGGTGCTTTAACCTCACATGGCATTGAGGAGAGGCAATAACCTTCAATTGTCTTGTGCTAATAAACAATTTAACAACAACAACAAAAAACCTAAAGAAAAGCCCATACCTAGCCTAACCAAAACAAGCAAAAAGAGCACCATGCTCTAAGCAGCTGTAAGAAATGTAAATATTTCGTGTAGAAAAGCTCTGCCCTCTGGCTATGCTGCAGGATGACAGATCCCCACCGAGTGCCTCTGTCACTCCTGGCTCTCCCAAGTCAATGGGCAGAGATCAGCTGGGCAGGGTGCTGCAGGCTGGGTCACCCCTGGGATCTCGGAATTCCTGCCTCAAGGCTCAGCACCTCCTTCAAGCCAACCCGGGTAGTTCTCCTTCCCCTTATGCAGACTCTGAGATCATCTTGTTCAGAGCCAGCCCAGAACTGCTTCACTGCAGCCCTGCTGGTGCTGAGCTCTGTCCCAGCTGATTCACTTGCCATTATGCAGATCCCAAAGCTATCTGAGAAACCAAAATATGAGATTTTTAACCCTTTCAACTTCTCTGCCCCAGAACCCAGGACACAGAAACCCCCAGCTGTGCAGAGAGCAGGGCTGGCAAGCAGAACCCTTATCAGATACCCATGAGCACAGATCCCCTGCCTGAGCTCAGGGTGGGGGTGCAGAGCCCTGCACAACGCAGCACCCACAGCAGAGGGGTGCAGTATTGAGACCCTCATCTACTTCTTGACTAAAGGAAATTACAGAGGGTGGTGCAGAGAATTTTAGTAACCTTGACAGGACCCCTCTCTAAATATATTAAATCATCTCCTGTTCTTAGAGAAAGCAGCTTTGAATTTTTAAACCAGCTGCTGTACATACTCCAGTGAATACTGTCACACATATATTTTGACCAACTGAATCTCAGCACAGCACTTTTATGTCCAGGGAGATTCACCAGTTAAAATACAATGAAAATGCAGAGTCCCAAACAGCAGTGTGGAAAGGAGCACTTGTCACCTGGCAGGTGTCCTCCTGCAGCACATCTGATGGTACCAAACAATCTTCTCTGCATTAACACATCAGGGTAATGGAGATGGAACACTGAGGAGGGGAAGAGAAAGCTGCAGCTTGTGATCAAGTAGTGGTAAATCACTGCTTCACACTGAGAAAAGAACCACATGTATTATAACATGCCAATACTTTGTTGTAGGGATCAGACAAGCATAGTATCAGAGCTCTACAGCAAAGACTCGGTCCTGTTTCTTCTCTGAAATGCTTGTACTTTCCTTCCCCCCTTCTCCCTTCCTTCTGCAGCTCTTCCCAATGCATGCAAAAAACCAGAGAGGCATCCACAGAGAGCCTGCTTATCTCAAAGCCTGACTCTCTCCTGCCCAGAATGATACCAGAACCCTGCAGAATCTCTGTGGCAGCTGTGGGGCAGAACATCTAAAGGTGTCAGCAGGAGGAGGTGAACTGAGGTTGTATAGACCTGGTTACAAGAAATTAAAGTATTCAGAAATCATTGGTAGTATTCAAGAATTAAGTGCCAATATTTAAAAACAAAACTCTTGCCTAACTTTGATACTATTTTCTGCAAACTTGCCACACTCTTCAGAGAGGGTAAATAGCATTATTTCATTTTATTGTGGGGAAACAGAGAAACAAAGCAATAAAAAGATTTGTCCATAATAATCCAAAACCCATGACAGAGCTGGACACCATTCTGAATCCAACCTGACCCTTTGGACAGGAGGTCTAGACAGGGCACCCCAGCAATGCTCTGTGTCTTTGGTGTTAGTGCTTGGCCAGAAAGCCCTGGCTCAGTCCAGTGCCAGACCCACTGCACACAGCAGCCACCCCCCAGGGCTCCCACTGCCACCAGAGAAGGATGAAAGCAGCTCCTCAGGCAGCCACATGGTGAAGATCTCCAACACAACACACCCCAAGTAAGCAAATATTGCAAATAATACCCAATTAAAAGAAAGTTTAAAAAAAAGAAAAAAAGTCACATTTTCCTCCACTTGTTCCAGCCAAGTGCTGCTGTTCACCCAGGTAAAAATATTACAGGATAGTAGAAATATACTTTATTATTAGCAGTTGCTGCTGACAGGCAGCTGTGTAAACTTTCTCCTGATTCCTGCTGGTGGGTTGAGCAACAATTTGATTTACCACATTCAAATTTCCTTTTGGTTGTTCAGTCCATTACATATACACATCAGAGGACACCAGAGAAAAATTCTGGCCCATCTTCAGTTTAAACTATTAATGTAATACTTTGACTCATGCATCTCTCACACTATAAATGTTTTGTTAATATGATACAGTATTCAAGATGAAGATAAATCATGGCTGTAAAAAGAATTTGCTTTCCACTTCCAGAACCACCCTTTGAGTACCCATATAGTATACTGACCTATGACACAATGAAAGCCCAGTAAAAACTAATTTAATAAATGCAAATCTATTAATAAATCCAGCCAAAATGTGGAATGAGGATGTTCACCTTCTCCTTAGTTTTTTCATTGTGCCAGGGACAGAAGAGGAGATTAAGGCTATGATTACTTTTCTGCTAGTCTCTATACCAGTTTATTTCACAAAAGGGACACTGGGACTTTAAACACTCTTGGAATAATAATCATCAACTGCTCATTAGTGATTTAAATACAAAATTGAAGCAGTAGCAAACCACTGAAAAGCTCAAGCCACTACTCAAAGCTCAGTCTGTGTCCATTCTGATTTGAATCAAAAAAGACAGCTGGTTCAGGGACCAATTCAAGATAGTTTGGCCTAAAATGGAGCTGGAAGCAGGAGCTGGCTTGCTAACAAAGCAATTTTTTTTTTCACAGAAAGAATAAATTGTGGAAAATTTTCCAAAACTTCTGCATGCATTGCTAGAATAGCTGAATCACTCTAAACCATTTCTACTATTAACAAACTTTCATTAGTTTCAGAAAACAACATATTTTCCAAAGTATTTAACGACCATATGTATATATGAAAGAGAAAAATATTTGTCCCTCCTTAGAGGGACATAAGCTCATAAGCTATATTTCCCTCCCTGAATTCCCTTCCTAAGTAGTATAATTTTTCTGCAAGAAAGGAAAATACTGGTGCCTGGTCACAAGTTGGGATCTTGATAACAGCAGAGGTAAGCATTAAATCATCTGAAAGCAGTTCAAGTGATCCAGGTTCAACATATTCATTAAAGATTTATATAAAGCCATCTGAGCCAAAGGTTCCATTAAACTGGAAAAAACCCAAAATATAAGTTTAATGAAAGTTACTGCAGAAAAGCAATTTGAATGATTGCATAGGAACAGTAAATGTGGATCCCTTCAGACTCCAGGTAACAACCTGAGCTAGGAATACCTGCAGTATTTACAGCCTAGAATAAATAAAAAGAACCTGGTGTGGATTACAATTTGGGCACCTTGGAGTAATTTTAACAACTATATTCATAGAAAATTATGACAACATCAGTTTGTTACAAAAGTATTTATAAATGTGATTTTACCTATATAATATGTTGATTGCTTAAGAAGTCTGAAATGTTTTCAGCTCTTTGGGAAAAATCAGCAGTGATCTTCCAACTCAAGCTTCAGCTGATGCTTCAAGCCACTATAGGCTAACAAAGCATGTCCTGCAAATTACCCAGCCCACTGTGCATATGCTGAATCAGTGCTTTTCAAACTATCAAAATCTTCACAGGAAAGCCTTAGTCCTATAAAAAGCTGAGATCAGATTTGGAGAGAACTTTGCACCCCCATAGATCAGTTCAAATTGTGCTTTCAACCAGAAGACAGGATCCTTTGCAGTCTAAGTAGGAGAAAAGTAAACTCAGTCTTAACCCCTGGAAATTTTTCCACTAATACTGGGCTCCTTCTGCTCCCTAAAAGGCAAAAGAACTTAGTCTGTGTTTAGAGAATGCTGAGTACAGAATTTTTGAGCAGCCTCTTGAGGCAGGTGCACTTTCACATTAAATATGTACTGATCTAGCCAAAGAGGAACCCCATTCTCCTGTGTTCTTCTGTCCCTTCTGTGGCTTAGGACAGCTGAACCCTTCTCCTTTAGGAGGTTGTTCACATCTAGGTTTGATTGGCATCACAACTCAGTCAGTTGTCCTCCTAACCAGGATCTAAAGAAGAACAGTCACATACTCAACTCTGTGACCTCTGAGCTCAGCTGAAGCTGAGTCAGCTTCTTTGATGACCTCCATGCTACAAATGCCAAGTCTCTGAGGAAATGGAGTACTATTTGGCACTGAAAGTCCTTTAGATTACATTGTGTGACTACTACAATAGGGAAACAGTCAGGTTTCGCTCCCTCAGCATAAAGTCTTCTAAGTAGACAAGTTTCCAATTAGAGAAGGATAGAAATCATTCATTCTGAATCTAAACATGCTTGGACTTTGGATCACACTGATTGGAAATTAGTGCCTCAGATTTATTTCTAGTTAAAGTAGGCTAACAAAATTCCACAATTCATGATGTTTATTCTTTCCAGATCCACACATACAGTCAGTAAACAGCTACTTAAAATTTCCAAGTAGCTCTGCTGTATTTGTAATTGCCTCCTGCAGCTCAGAACCATAAAAGGTATAATACACAATTTTTCCTCTTTTTAGTTTTCTTTGTTTTTCTCTCTCTTTTTGGCAGATGTCAAGTAAAGGGATTTTATCTTTCTGTTACTGTTTTTTAGCTGCATCTCTGATCTCATCACAGTTAGCTAAAGTGTTCCTCTGCCTCCACAGAGTAAAAACAACAGGGCAGACCCACCGGGAGGGATACAGAGGAATCAAACAGCATTAAGCAACAAGTTATTTTAAATGTGCAAAGAGATAAGCTCTTACCTGCCACAGAAGTCTCCTGTGAAGGGACTGCTGGTTAGAAGGGGGATGAAATCCTGCCCCTCCAAAAGTTCACTCAGCAGACTCAGCCAGCCATTAACTGCACTGCCACTGAAACACAAGATTTGTGAGTGGCAGAGCCTGTGTAGTCACAGATCAACTCACCCCAGTTCCACCATACCTGTAATTCCATGACCCTCAGCCACAAACCATCTCCATTGTAGCGGCAGCTTGAGGATTTCTTTTCACAGGAGAACCTCTTTTCACAGGATGACACAACTATCAAGTTGCATTGCCTCTTTGCCTACAATAAGAATGGTAGAAGAAGAAGATTGGTCTCTGAATTGCAACTTAAGTGATGAGTTTTTCCCTTTTTTTTTTTTTTTCATTTATAGTTTTATTCAGAGAGAGGATCTTCAAAGATGAGGTTGTGCACAGAGCTCATCCTTCAACTTCAGCTGCTTAAAAAGAAATGCCAGAGCTCACTGAATCACCCTTAACTTGCTACCTCACCTTAAGGCAAAAGGATTATCTATGGCTTAGCTGCACTCTAGGTAGGGAGCTGAAATGGATTGCAAAAGATCCTGTGCAAATCCTTCAGGGACAGGTGAGTTCAGAAGCATTAAACTGTTAATCCAATGAAAAGGAAGGGACCACACTTGTTACAGATGCAATCAAACAATATAATCAAGCACATTTTAAAGTAATGGCTGATTTGTAAAAGGAAGGATGTGAATTTGCATGGCAAATGTACAGTTGCTTTCCCACAAATATAAGTCGGAACTAATGGCTTGTTTCACACCTACTGTGTTATAGAGGACAAGAGAGAAGGGCTGTATTTATTGCTGCTCACACCCACACCAATTTATGGCCACTGCTCTTTTCCAGCTGGTCCAGGATAGATAGCCAAAAGAAACATGAAGTCAAAAGCAACCAGAGCTGAATATAAACATGCGTACACAAGTGTTTGATCAAATTTATGATTTTCAATAATATGTGCCTAGTTTTAAGTCTATTTTACTAAGGGAATGAAAAGTAAATACTGAATTGTTTAAATTATTTTCATTTTCCATGACCTCTAATATTGCTGCACTGCAAAATAGGATCTCAAAATTAATAATTTCACCACTCAGGATTTTTACCTCCCTCCCAGGTCCTATATTTAGGAAATATCTATGTACTTTATAATCTTTTCAGTGGCAAAAATAGTTATTCTCACTATAAATACCTTTACCTGTGATATTTGCACCTGTGTTATTATTTGATTATAGTAGAGAGAAACTAAGGAAGAGTAAAATTGCTTATAAGTACATTTACAGAGAATAAATCTCATTCTGGAGGGATTTTGCAGTGTGTTGGATCCAGGTTTTGTTCTGACTGGAAAATCTCCAAAGGAATGTTTTTCCATAGGAAAATGCTGATTCATCAAACCCAAAGCATTTAGCAGTAGAAAAGGCCAACTACAGTGGAAATCTGTCTTCGAGTGGAAACATGCCCAGGCTTCTGCCAGCTTGCCTGAGGCACTGTGCTGCACAGATGGGAAACCAAAGCATCCCAAAACTAAAAATAAGAGGTCTGACATGGAGGTAGGACCATGGAAGGCTCATCAGCTCCTGTTGCCAGCATCCTACATTTCCAAGGTTTCTCATTCAGACTCAGTTCACCTGGAGGATTGCTGGGCTGGCAGAGAAGGATTCATGGTCATGAAAAGGTAGATCTCCAGGGCCAGGATGCCCCACTGCTCTGCCCCCATTTGCCAGCCAGGATAACAGCTTTGTTTTATGAGCACACTTTAAAACCCACAAAGCTCATGTGAAGCACAAAGCATATAATTACCACTTCTGGCAAAAAAAAAAAACAAAAAAAAACAAACAAAAAACTCTAAACTTTATTTTGTCCTGAAAACCACCTCCAGCTCTGTAAAGCCTTTAATGGAATTATGATGTCTTCTACAATACTCCTATTGAGATTTTAGGAGCCATTCCTTTCACCATTAAATGCTTAAAAGGGCCAGAAAGGCATCTTCTCCCCAAGCTAAAGAATATTTGGTATTTTTTTCAAGTGAGGAAATTTTATTAAATATTAAAGAGTTATTAAAATACATTGAATTACAAGCAAAAGCCAGCCTACCCCAAATATTCCTAAAATATATCTGGGAGATGCAGGTGCTAAGGCACCCCAAAATGGGCCATGAACTTGCCATCCACAGTTGCCCCACATACACAGAAGACATTTATCCACCTCACTGCTCCTGGGAATGTTGGTGGACTCTCACCCACAAAAGAAAGAGCAAGACTCCACTCCAAGTTCCTGCTTGGAGCTCACAGCCTGGGTAACTTGTGGGACAAATCTTCAGGGAAGCTCAAGACAAGACAGCTCCCAAACTCTAGCTGACTCTTGCTGTAGATAGAAGCCATGGCAAAGGGTTTGCACTGAAGGTTACCTCCCCTTGCTGATGAAGGCAGCAGCAGTGCCCACAGCTGGTGGTGAGATCTGCCAGGCAGACCCCAGGTGAGAGCACACCTGGTCAGCAGATTGCTGCAAACAGCCTCCCTTGTACCTCATCAGCTCTTCCCATGCATAAACACGTCCCAGGGCACTAGGCCATCACAGGCTGTGGTGTGCCCATTGCTCCCTGCTCCACAGGGAAGGACTGAGCATTTCTCAGCACACCAAGAAATCCAGTTCTATCCTCCCGCTTTATTTAATTTGGACAATTCTATTCAGAAACAGAGCCAGCAGCAACAAGGGCTTGACAACAGGAGTGCCAAGTGGCTGATGCTCAACATAAACAAGCCAGAGAATGCAAACTCCTTCAGAATTACTACTATGGAGGTTCTTAAATCTGTGACAACTTAAAATATCTCTAAGACAGGTGTTCAGTGCAGCTTTTGGGAAGTGGAGTTGATTGCTTACTACATAAATCATCTTGCAGGGACCGTGTGACTCTGGTGCCCCAAAGTTCAAGCCAGCTGCCCACCAGCCCTGGGGGGCACAGGGTAAGTTTAAACTTTCAAGATGAAACTTAAATTCAAACACCAGTGAAGGAAGACACACTGACTTGGAAAACAGACATTTACTACAAAAATTGCTGTTCCTGCCTTTGTTTTGTGATTAGATTGTGTTTTATCATTTCTATGCACTAGAAGATGTAAAAATAGGAATTTCTGTAGTGGAGTTGCATATAGTTAATAATTCACTAGCCTGTATTTGAGAAAGTACCCCCCAAATGCACAACTGAGCATACAGCTGAGATGTCAGCTAGAAAACACCAGCAAGCTCGTTATATATCTGAGTTACTACATGCAGTATCAAACTCACTCCAGGATCTACTCCAGGATTCTACTGTGTCATTCAAAATACAGGGCCTTAAATAGTTCCTCCTTTTCCTTTGCACCTCTTTCTTATGGCAGGCTTTCATGCTTGCCCTTTTCCAGTGTTCTGGATCCTTGTCTTTCCACCCAGACCTCAAAGACATTCTCTTAAGGCTACCTCAGAAGGGCTAGAGCAGAGCACTTTGGAGCTTTTAAGACACTGAATATTCAGACCCACAGGGTGGCCATTATATAAGAATCACAGTCTGACTGTAACAAAAAAATTTACCAATGCAATGGCATGAATCCTTTCAAATCAAATCACACTGCCTCTATGATCACAAGGGATTCCTCCAGAAAAGCCTCCTCCTCTACAATCTTCACCAGACTGTCTAGAGAATGAGGGAACCCTTTATTTGCTCAGCTGTAGTTATTCTCTGTGAAACTCCTCAGTGGAAGCCAAAGGATAATGGGGATTATAGAGAAAAGGAACAGTTCAAAGATTCAGGAAATCTTAATGTCATTTTGTGCAGCCAGAACTGAACAGTGAAAACAGATCTCTGCTTTCCAAAGACTATAGGACCTTTCATGAGAGTTACTTGCTACTGATCTCTACTAAACATTGCTGAGCACAAAATTCTGGGAGATGAAAGGGACAAGAGTCCAATAAAATCATTATGTAGGATTTCCACTGCTCTCTTCTAAACTGGTCTTATATCAGAAAGTTTGACCTTTGGGGAATTGCTTCTTGGAACAACTCGTTCTGAGCACACAGGGGAGAGGATGTTCTGACCCTTGTCCTGGAAGCACTCGAGCCTGGTCTGGCACAGCTCAAAAAGCAGCTCTAGTGGGGCTGCTAGTGACAATTGCCACCACAGAATCCATGTAATATCCTTGGCTGGGGACAGGGGCAACATATCAAAGGAATGTTCAATCCAGTAGAGCAACACTAAACTCTAGAAAGAGGAATTTTTTCAAACCTTGACTTTGTTAAAGGCACCCTAAAATGAAAATATGCAAATAGAAGTTCTTAGCAAAGATGTTGCTATTGATTTGTGAGAATCAAAATCTCTCCTGAGAAAAGATAAATACAACCCACACCCCACAGTAACCTGAAGTAAACAAGGAATAAAAAGCAAATGCACTGAAACGAAGGCCAGAGTATTCCGCATGACTCACAGTCAGTGATCAGGAGAATGTGACTATGGTAAAATTAAATAATTAAATTAATTTCCCTCTATTCCCATTAAGTCACAAGTGCTGATACCTCCTCTGCTTGTCCTGCTAGGTTATCCAGGATGTGGGAGAGTGGAGCTTGGTTTAACCACTTAAGACTGACACAGAAAAAAATGGTCTAGCAGGTACTTTAAGGCACACATGAACTTAAAAAGAACACAAAAATGAATTGGTTACCAATAAGCTTATGAATCATATCCCAAGTGTAGTTTTTGAAAATACGTAGTGTTGTGTTTAAGAAAGCAGCTTGTTTTCTAAACAGCAAAATGTTGTGCAAAAAGGACAAGAAAGGAAATTTCCCAGTAAATAAAGCTGTGTTACTGCTATCTGATAGAGGGTTCCTTGTGTCTTCCTTTGGAGACACTGAGATGGTCCTACCCTTTGAGACAGGGAGCTTAGGTGTGAATAAACTACCTGTGCAGAGCTTGCACCTAGCACCAATACTTAAAAGCACAGCAGAAGGCAAAAATTCATTATCTTGCAAATTCATGCAGGATGTTATGGGACATAGCTCCAGGTTTCTCAAGGCTCCTTGTACTCTCTGAGTAAAAGGTACACATTGATGTCTTGAGATATCTTTATAATCACCTTCCTCCATAATCTTTTCCTGCAACCTCTTCCCTTCTTTAAAGGTTCATTTGCCTACATCCAAAGGCTGCTCTAATACCACACAGCTGCATAACCTTGAATCCAATTTCCATAAAAACAGGGAAGGTGTGAGGAGCAGGGTTTGTGCTGTCCCTTCTGGACTTTC